TAATTTTCTCCTATGCAGAGTGCACCTGCTTCAGAAATCTCAACATCTAGGTCACGCCTGTAGACAATACGTATATCTAAAGAGGTTTGTTTAGCTGGAATTGCACATTTCAAATGTGTAATGCAATTGGAATGTCACCAAAATTCTCTTCTGAAACATCCAAAGAAATAAAATAAATTATATACGAAGCCAATGAGATTGTCCGTTGTTATAGATGGGTTCTAGACTACATGATATCAAATATGGTTGTGGTATTAAGCCAAGAGTTGAGATTTGTTGATTTTCCAGCCGTGTCTTTCCATATATTTTTAATACATTGACACACATTTTTTAACAAATGGAAAATGTACATTAGGTGTACTACTGCCATCTGTCAAAAAATGAGTTAATGTCTTTCTACTTGTTTAAAAATGATGTGGGTTGAAATATCTAAATTGGATAAGAATTCAAATGTCTTGAATAAAAGTCGAAAAAGCATAATTGACTTTGATTTGGGTCATCACATATCAATTTTAAGACACGTCTACTAATGTAGAACTTGTTGCAACAGGTAGAAGCTTCAAGAGTGAACAAATACAAAAATATATACAAATCTGCGAGTCAAATCAAATAAAAGTTTCTGAAACATGGATAACAAGAAGAAAATTTAAATGTGACGTAAATTTGCATGTGAATAGGAATTTCAACAATAAAACAATATTTTTTATTTTTTATTTTTAGTTAGTTATGAAATTGGGATTCATATTATGCCCTTGTTTGGTTTTCATTATTTCTTCATTAAAATGAAAAATATGACTATTATCCCAAGTCACCATATTTGACTTTTTATTTTTGTGTGGGGTCCATAATGACTATATTTTTCATTCTCATTTGTACAATAATGTGGCGCAAACGGGTGCTTAATTAGATAATGAAACAACAAAAACGATTCATTGAGGTGGAAGCATAGTATCATGAAAGTAGGCATTGTCCAGTTATGCATCGGCATTGTGGTGTTGTAGGGATGACATGTTAGTGACATTTATGGAGCATGGAGCACAAAATGCTAAAACAAATGTATTCACAGTACGTTTTGAACCAAGCCATGAAAAAAACAAAATAAAAACTGATACATAATTAAAACAACATAAGTGTGGCTCATGTTGGTCTTTCGGGGTTGGTAAAGACTGGTTTTGGCTGTCACGGGATTTGGGCATTACCATCTTCGCAGTCGAGAAGTGAGGATTCCAATATGGGGTGAGAAGCTGACGAGCTTCAATGCTAAGCGTCAATATCGTGTCGCGGGGGAGTGTGGATAAGATGATTTCGGATTTCGCCTTTGTAGGAAATTGATTTCACGACTTCAGATCCAGGAGATTGAATTTGACGGCTGAATTGTAGTGTGTGGCGGAAAATCAACTTTTTCTTCTGGTCACCCAAAAGTCAATACCACATCACTAAAAATTAAAAAATCCCATACAATTTCTATCAACCAACTTCTGTACAAGAGGCATTACACAAAAAAATTAGAGTTATGATGTTTGTACGATACAAAAGTGCACTCTACATGTAACAGTCTCCCTGTATGTGTACAAGACACTTTGGCTTTACGTGAAGCAAAGTTCAAACAATTACTTTCATCATCCCATAACTCGCTTTCCTTTTTCCTCTATTCCAAATCAAATGCCTCTTTTCTTGTTAATAGTATAGTTGATTTTTTTAGTTTTCTGATATATCTTTATTTAATGTGTTTTGTTATCAATAAATATCAAAAATTTAAATAATTATATAATGCAAGGGTATAATAGGAAAAATGTAAGAAATATTTATATTTTTTTTGTTGATCTCAAAAAATGTGCCACCAGAATCCCAACCACCTCCCTTCATGTAAACATCACTTGTACATTCGAGCATCTTGTTAGGAGGCAAAAGCCATCAATCGAAAAAAAAGTTCAACGATCGTTTGCACTTCGATAGTCAAGTCAACGACTAGACAAGAAATAATATGAGTGCAGGAGAGGAAGAAAAAATTTGGCTAGAATTAGAAGTTGTATACTTTTGAATGAAATGAATCACATACACACAGAAGAAATGTAAATGAGTCAAGTGGCTTTAATGAAATGGGCCCAAGTCCAAGCCCAATATAAGGTCTCACAAGGTTGTTTAATTTATAGGTCCAATTCACTTGAATTTATAGGTTAAATATTTTCACTATATGAATTATATTTTCTTAATTTGAATGAAAAAGAAAATAAGTGTATCTTGATAGGACACAGGGAGTATTAAATTTTTGTAGATTTATTCAGAATATTCATCTACATGATAATATCTATTTGTCGTGTCCATGTGTAGATGTAGCCCACGGTATACATAAACCACCCAAAAAAGAAAAAGAAAAA